CATTAGCAGATGGAGTGTTGTCAAGCATAGAGGAGAAGAAGACGACGAAAGGAGATCCGGGATCATCTCACTAAGCTCGTATGAGGCCAAGTCACTCCACTAGAAAATTTTTCTTAAGAGGAAACTCTATACTCTTCGTATGGCGGAATCTACTTCGGTGACGAACATGTCAATACTTTGAATACTTTATTTTCTCAACTCATATCGTTGGGTTATAAAATAGATCAAAGTGAACGTGCTTGAACTTCTACTTCAAAGTCTACCGGATTCGTATGATCAACTCATCATCAACTTAACAAATAATATCCTTACGGATTCTCTAGTCTTCGATGATGTTGCGATACTGCGTTACGGAAGAAGAAAATCGATGCAAGAACAAAGAAGACGAGCGGATGACTTCTCAACAAGCGAAGCCTTGACGGTGATGAGAGGGAGATCAACGGATCGTGGCTCGAGTGGGAGCTATAATCATGGTAGGTCAAAATCAAAAAGTAAGAAGAGTTTTAAATGCTACAATCGTGGCAAGAAAGGTCACTTAAAGAAGGATTGTCGAGTTTGAAATATTTCAATCCTCGAGGAAATGTGGCAAGCACTTCGGATGATGGAAACGCTCCGTGTTGTGAAGCGGTAACGTCACATAGTGATAGAAAAAGATTTGCCGATGTGTGGCTATTCGACTCGGGAGCTACGTTTCACATGACCTCTAGGAAGGAATGGTTCTATCATTATGAACCTATCTTAGGAGGATCTGCGTACGATTGCAATGATCATGCTCTAAAGATCATTGGCATTGGAACCATCAAGTCGAAGATGTATGATGGTACAATTCGTACTATTGAACAAGTACGGCATGTGGAGGGCACTGAAGAAGAACTTGTTGTCTATAGGACAACTAGATGATCTTGGATACAAGATCGATGCCGAGAAGGGGATCTCGAAGATAATCAAAGGAGCGCTTGTACTTATGAAGGGAGAAAAGATAAGCTGTAAACTTATACATGTTGAAGGGAGAGACTTTACAAGAAGCGAAGCATCGGTTGCTTTAAACAATTCGAGTGAAAGATCTACAATAATGTGGCATCGAAACTTGGGCATATGTCCGAACAAGGAATGAAAATCCTTGCTGAGCAAAAGTTACTTCGGGACTCACAAAAGTATCTTTACCCTTTTGTGAGCATTGTGTTATCGACAAGCGACATCGATTGAAGTTTAGCACATCAAATTCTAGAAGCAAGACTATTCTAGAATTGGTTCACTCGATGTGTGGCAAGCACCGGTTCCATCCCTAGGAGGAGCGAAGTACTTTGTGTCCTTCATTGATGATTATTCTAGGAGATGCTTGGGTGTATCCTATCAAGAGGAAGGGAGATGTGTTTTCGGTCTTCAAAGTTTACAAAGCGCGGGTTGAACTTGAGTTCGGAAAGAAGATCAAGTGTTTGAGGACGGATAATGGAGGAGAATACACTCGGTGATGAATTTGATACATTCCGCAAACAAGAAGGTATCAAAAGACAGTTCATGGTTGCATACACTCCTCAACAAAATGGAGTGGCAGAGCGGATGAATAGAACCTTGTTAGAAAGAACAAGAGCTATGCTCGAGGACTCGCGAGCTTAGGAAAGGCGTTCGGGTAGAAGCGGTCAATACCGCTCGTTATATTGTGAATCGATCCCCATCAATCGCAATTGAGTTGAAGACACCGATGGAGATGTGGACTGGTAAGCCAGTTGATTATTCAAATTTCCATATATTTGGAAGTCCTGTGTACGTGATGTACAATGCCCAAGAAATCACAAAGCTAGATCCAAAATCCAGGAAATGCTTATTCTTGGGGTATGTCGATGGAGTTAATGGGTATCGCTCGTGGGATTCCACCGCCCACAAGGTTATTGTCAACATGGAGGTTATCTTTGTAGAAACAAATCTACAAAGGAAAGAACAAGGTAACGAGCACTTCGAAACTACAAAGGTACGAGTGGAAAAAGATCCCGAACAAAAGGATCCTTCGAAGCGACACCGAGAGAATGAGGGAGACGAACCGGTTGAGTCCGAAGTTTCGAACCCCGACGGATCGATCGCACAAGAAGGCGACCCGATTGGCATTCGGACTATATTATGGAGAGCAATGTTGCATACTTGTCTTTTAACGGAGGAAGGAGAGCCATCAACTCTTCAGAAGCAATGAACAACTCGGATGCATCTCTGTGGATGACAACGAATGCGGGAAGAAATTGAAGCTCTTCACAAGAACAAGACTTGGGAACTTGTGACATTACCACAAGGAAGAAAGCCCATTGGTAATAAATGGGTTTACAAGATCAAACGAAATACCGATGATCGAGTGGAGCGATATCGTGCAAGGTTGGTGGCGAAAGGTTATGCTCAAAAAGAAGGGATTGACTTTAATGAGATATTTTCTCCTGTGGTTCGACCGACAACGATCCGAGTAGTCCTGGAAATGTGTGCTATGTTTGACTTACATCTAGAGCGGTTAGATGTGAAAACGGCTTTTCTTCATGGAGATCTTGAAGAAGAGATTTATATGCTCCAACCGAAGGTTTTGAAGAAATAGGAAAAGAGAACTTGGTTTGCGGAGTTGACCAAATCTCTGTACGGTCTAAAACGAGCGCCGAGGTGTTGGTACAAGAGATTTGATTCATTCATCATGAGCCTTGGATACAACGGACTTAATGCGGACCCTTGTGCATATTTCAAGAGGTTTGGTGAAAGTAATTTTATTATCTTGTTGTTGTATGTCGACGACATGTTGGTAACGAGCCCCAACAAAGATCATGTCAAAGAATTGAAGGCACGATTGGCTAGGGAATTTGAAATGAAGGATTTAGGACCGACGAAACAAGATTCTAGGGATGCAAATTCACCGAGACGAAATAATAGGAAGATTTGGCTTTCTTAAAATACTTATTTGAAAAAGGTCTTACGACGTTTCAACATGCAAGATTGTAAGCCAATTTCTACCCCACTTCCTATTAATTTCAAGTTATCCTCCGAGTATGAGTCCTAGCGAGTGAAGAAGAGAGGATGGAGATGTCTCGAGTACCGTATACATCGGCGAGTGGGAAGTTTAATGTTCGCTATGATTTGTACAAGGCCTGACATTGCGCATGCGATGGGAGTGGTTAGTCGGTACATGGCGAATCCTGATAGAGAGCATTGGAATGCAATAAAGAGGATCCTAAGATACATTCGGGGAACCTCGGATGTTGCATTATGTTATGGAGGATCGGAATTTACTCGTCGGCGGTTATGTTGATTCCGATTATGCGGGTGATATGGATAAAAGCAAATCAACTACGAGTTATGTGTTTACACTTACCGATGGAGCTGTAAGTTGGGTTTCTAAGCTGCGATCGATTGTGGCTACGTCAACAACGAAGCGAGAATATGTAGCGACTACACAAGCCAGGTAAAGAGGCGATCCGGTTGAAAATGGTATTGGAGGAACTCGGGCACAAACAAGAAAAGATTTCTCTCGTTTTGCGACAGTCGAGTTCCTTGCATCTTGCAAGGAATCCAGCCTTTCATTCAAAGACAAAGCATATACGAGTACGATATCACTTCATTCGTGAGAAAGTGGAAGAAGGAACTGTAGATATGCGGAAAATTCATACGAAAGACAACCTAGCAGATTTTATGACAAAGGCAATCAAAGCCGATAAGTTTATTTGGTGTCGATCCTCCTGCGGCCTAATGAAGACATAAGCAACATGGGAAGACAAGATAGAAAGAATAGTGTGAAGATCCGATTGACTCTCAATCAAATCTTCAAGTGGGAGATTGTTGAAATCACAGCTTGCATGCAACTTGCATGCAAGGCTTTCCGTGGACAATTTGTCCACGGAATCCCAGCTGCATGCAACTTGCATGCAAGCTAGATCACGACTTGCAAAATGCAAGCTGTGACCACTTGCACCGCCTAAATTGAGGCGGTGCAAGCAAGGGAGAGGTCTATAAATAGGCCTCTCCACCTTAGTTTGCATCCATCCCACCATCCGAGAGAGAAAAATATAGAGAGTGATTTTTCCTATTTTAAGAGAGAAATTTATTGTTTTCTCCTTGTAGTATAGAGAGAGGGTGTAACTCCTATTATTTTTCATAGTGAAATTCTTCTATCTTGTCCGTGGTTTTTTCCCTTAATTTGTTTAAGGGTTTCCACGTAAAATCCGTGCGTTCAACTTCATCTTTATTTCTCAAATTTATTAGTCGCGACCACTCGCTCTATTCGGCCAATAATACAATATCATCCGCAAAGATTTGGCATCGATATTAGCAATGCTTTCGAGTTCAAGAAATTCCAGCAATTGCTCCAATGTATGATGGGTTTTCCTGAAAAAGAAGGAAGGGATGGATTTCTGGTTAGATGGAGTCTGTTCACTAGTAAAAATGCAAAAGGTGTTTTTATACGTTTTTCTTTTCATTTTCATATTTTTTTCATGTAAAAATTACATATGACATGTCATGACTTGTGACCTTTTACTTTTTTGCTACATGTCACTTTTAATAAAATCATCCTAAGAGTGAGTCATATTAAGAAAATCTTAAGGTTAGTCACTTTGCAAGTTACATATGAATGGAGGTCTGAAAAAAATTAATTAATCTTTACAACTTATATATGAAGTTTCCCATAATATTAAAAAATCACGTACGGTTGTAAGTGTACAATTTAAATCGAGGAGCTTGTTAAAGCGTCCAAAGAAAGGACACCTTGGTTGCTCCCATGCACTCACTCGGGTTTAAAAAAAAAAAAAAAAAATCTTTAATTACATCATAAAGCAATTTAATAAAACGAAACCGTGTAAGCACGGGTAAATGACAAATTTATTATTGGAATTTGTGGCTCAAATATTATTTATTTGGTACAATGTGAAGAAGGAAAATGCACTCAGTAAAATTTTGGATTAGGAAAAGTTATTTGGAAAAGCAGTGCACACAATATATGAGTGGTTCCTCCGATTAAGTCCACTTCATTTTTCCCTTATTCATAGCCAAGGAGAATTGTAAATGGGAGTCACAATAGACTTGACTTGAAGGAACTTATGAAGGGCTTCCAGTCCAAGATGCCTTCCAAATCCACTCATCTTGTATCCTCCATAAGAACAGTCGCAATCAAATGCAAAGTAGCAATTGATCCAAATGGTGCCTGCCCGGATTGACCTTGACACGGTGTTAGCTATATCTATGTTCTTCGTAACAATACCAGCTGCTAGCCCATACTTTGTATTGTTTGCCTTCGTAATCGCCTCATCAATTGTCCTAATAAAAACAGGAGAAAAGAAGTTCTAATATATATATATATATATATTTAGAAAAAAGGCATATAATAATTATGTATTTACTATAGTTGTATATGTTTTTGTTTTCTTTTTTAATTTGATGGGCCGGCAAGCAGAAATGACCGAGTAATGTACTTACTTGAACTTCATGAGTGACATAACGGGTCCAAAAATCTCATCCGTTGCTATCTTCATGTTCTCCTGAGTAAATTTTCAATAAGAATGATTAAAATGAATGCTCATAATAATGTAAGATTCCAAGGACTTGTTGGACTTCTGGATGTTTACCTTGACATCAGTGAAAACTGTAGGCTCAATGAAATATCCCTTGTTGCCTGCAGGCTTACCACCTGTCAACAAGGAGGCCCCTTCTCTCTTTCCATGCTCGATGTACGAAAGAATTTTATCAAACTGCCGCTTATCAACCTGCATATAATTATATGAAATGAGAATTAGTGCTTAGCTAGGCAGGAAGGGAACTTATGAGCTTTTCAATTCCCAGATAAATTTAAACTCTTGCATCGATGCATGACTTGTAAAATTATTTTTACCTGTGGACCTAGGCGAGATCTCGGATCAAAAGGATCCCCAACTACCCAATCTTTTGCCTTCTCCTTCAACTTCTTTTCAAATTCATCAAAAATTCCTTCCTGGACAAAAACACGCGAACTCGCCACACAAATTTCTCCCTGAAAACATTGAATACAAGGAAGTTGATTCTCATTTTTCGAGTAGAAAGGTTATATTGTACCTCTACATTTTAAGTTGAATTCGTCATTAACAGGAAATGTCAAGGGAAACATATTTGCCTTGTTATACAGGATGCCAAGGAGAGCAAGATCAGCAGCTTTATCTACATCAGCGTCATCAAAAATCAGGAGAGGTGATTTGCCTCCTAATTCAAGCGAAATCTGTTTCAAATTGCTTGTTGCTGCAGCCTGCATTATTTTCCGTCCAACTTCGGTAGACCCTGTAAAGCATACCTGAAAAGACCAGGACACATATACAAGGTTAAAAGTATATAGAACCCCTACAGAATAATTAATTTCCTTTCCGATTTCTTCAAAATGAAACAAGAAATAATGCGCATCAAGTGATCAAACTAGCTTGACCTCACCTTGTCAACGTCCATATGAGATGCAATGGCAGCACCAGCAGTAGGTCCATATCCCGTTACAACATTGATCACTCCATCAGGCAATCCAGCCTGATTGGTTGTTACACACAAGAAACAAAAGAAAATTTTTAAAAAAGAACTATAATAAGGACATTCATTACTTGCCCAATTAAGCTTACCTGCTTGGCTAGATCGGCATAAAAGAGAGCCGAAAGTGGTGTTTGCTCGGCAGGTTTTACAATCATGGTGCAGCCGGCAGCCAAGGCCGGAGCAGACATCATGAAGAACATGGTGCTAGGAAAGTTCCAGGGGATGATATTGCCTACAACACCAATGGGTTCGCGCAGTGTGTATCCGTGAAGCTCGCGTGACATTTTCAATACTTCTCCATGAATTTTATCGGCTGCACCAGCATAGTAACGTAGCAGATTTGCTACATTAGGAATGTCCACAGCTTTGCCCCAGTTGAACAACTTGCCAGCATCTAGAGCGTCCAGTGCAGCTAAGTCTTCTATATGTTCGTTAATTAAGTCTGCGTATTTCAACATAATACTTCCTCTTGCCTGCAGGACACATTTGAAGAACAGAACAACATCATCCTTCCTTTAGTATCACACTAACCCATAAACACAATAATCATCTATGAAAACATGCTTTTCTTTTTAACCGATTCATTTGCCTCGTTTTTTTGAACGTTGTAAGAGTAAAATTTCAAATAAACATCTGTTTTATGTCCTTTTTTATAATTTTACTCTATATGTATAATACACTCAAATTAACAATTTTGTAATATATCCAAACTGACCTCTAATAAAGGAACAAATCCTTTTTTTTTTTTTTTTTAAGAAAAGACGCATTAAAAAATTAAGTTTCTAGACAAAGTCAGATTTTTATTTTTCCTTTTAAAAAACATACTTTGTTTTGTTCCATAGAAAATTGATAAGCATAAAATTCCCCTCTTCTTGAGGAGTAACTTAATATAAAACTGGTTACAATTTTGTAAAAAAAAAAAAAAAAACTATTATAAAGCCTGCAAGTTTCCACAAATAACTTTATAATTTATTTTAAAAATTTAATTAAATAAAATTAAAATGAAGTAATACTAGTACGATTATCAACTCAATTTGATTCCATGGTTGGTCACTTGAGATTACCCTATCAACTCAATTGGCTATGTCGAATTCGAAAATCATACATTTAAAACTGTTAGGTGAACAGATTTTTATTCCCATTCAATCCAATCTTAACTATATTAAATAAATATTAGTGTGAAAACATATGATTCAACACTTATTATAGATCAAATATGAATTTACTTTATTCAAACCAATAATAAATCAATAATATTTGATTAAAAAGTAATCTAGTTTCATGAAAATAACAATTTTAAAATACAACTTTATTCAAGTTCTTTTTCAATTTATGTGTTTTTTTTTTTTTTTTTTTTGAAAAATAAAGGAGGAGAAAAGAGAAACATTTCCAATTAAAATTGGACAATGAAAGAAGGCAGTTTTGAAAAAAGGGAGGAAAAAAAAAACCTAGTTAAACAAGGAGGATCTCAATTCTCAATTATGGTCAAAGGAGTATATAGTCACTTTGATACTATATGGACTAATAAATTAATTTTGATAAACTACAAGGGCTAATTACAATTACCTCCCTAATTTGTTTTTTCTTTAGCTAAAGACACTAATATTAATTAAATATAATCTGCCACCAGCAGATCCATCGGCAATCTAAATACGGTCTGGCTGTGCTAGGCGTAGAGCGGTGGCTTTATCGTGCTTCTCTTTTCCATGATGGACAAAGAGGCACGTGGCTCCCTGCCATCTTTTTAATGACCAAGCACATGACTTGATTTTTCTAAACCATAATTTGCTGATGCTTTCAAAAAGATTGTCTGACTAAATCCAAACTTCAAATCTTTTGACATCATTTAAAGCTATTAGCAAATAACGTTTTGATCAGCTAGCAGTCGAGTTATAGTTCAAATAGCATGTTACTTTTTTCTCTATTCTCTACATGACTTTGACTTAATAAAATAGAGGAAATGCAATTTCTGACACTAAAATCAGAAAAGAGATAATTATATATGTTGAATGAATTTCAAAGACATCAATTTTGAAATGTCTCTTCCAAAGCGGCTTCCCGTTTTCGTAAAATAGTTTCCATGACATTTTCTGTGACAAGTGAATTTGGCATCGCTCTTCCGGATTATATCATTATATCTAATTGAGCGATTTTTTAGGAGAATTTCTTAACCCTTCGATCACAATACGAGACACAGGATCAAAAGAAAATCAAATAAAATCTGTTTGGGTATGATATATTAAAAAAAAGTTTTGAATTATGATCCAAAATTATAAATTATTTTCATAACAACTTATAAAAATGAGTTAAAATTTACGATTTTTAGTTAGAACAAGTTTTGTATAAATGATTTATTTTTTTGTTTTTTTCTTAAAAAGAGAGAGAGAGAAGTGATATAAGTTAGAGCTTTTAAATTTTAGAACATATTCAATTTCATAAATTGAAAGTTAAAATTTTTAAATTTTAATTAAATAAAAAATCATTTCTAACTAAAGGTATTTATGATTTTTATATGAGTTAAAAATTTTAAAAAATAATAAATAAATCTATGTATAAAAATTATATGAAACGGAACCTCAACTAGAAAACATTAAATAGATTGCTTAATTAAAAATGAGTGTTTTTGCATGAGTTGATGAAAATAAAATTAGAGGTCATTTGTCGTAATTTCGCAATCATGGTCAATAAGTACACTAACGCGTCCAGCTGCGGCTACACAAATTTTTCAATGGATGGCATCTTACGCAATCAACTTATGACCATAAGGAAGGAAAAAAAAAATTGGTGAATTAGAAATTTAGAATAGAACATTTCCAGATTTGGTGAATAGCTTTGTAGATAAAAACAAGGAAGCGGTAGGTAGGATTACGTACAGCACCAGACATGCGGGGCCAGGGACCTTCGTCAAATGCGCGGCGGGCAGCCTTCACAGCCAAATCCACGTCTTCTTTATCTCCTTCTGCGACTCTTGTTATCACCTCACCTGTTCTTGGATCGATTGTCTCGAAAGTTTTACCTGGAATTTTTTGGTTTCACCGCCAGATACTTAATACATGCATGTGTAGATAATTTAAAAAAATAAGAAAATAAATATTATAAGGCCTCATGCAGGATTAAATATTAAACCAATCATTCATCAATCAATTGTACATAACCTGACAAGCTTATGCCAAAAATACAGCCACGTTAGTTTAATTATCAACGTGAAGCTGTGGGATTAGAAACCAAACAAATAAGCTCATGCCAAAAAACTATGAAGTCAAACAAGAAACATGCGTACGTTACGGCGACATACTGTCGTTCTCTATATTTCCATTTTCTTCTACCCTTTAAATTCGATGATGTGATGGTTAATAATATAAATTTCTTTTTAATGACGAAGAACTCGAATCCCTACTCATGGGATGAAATTCAAATTAACTCCAAATAAATATGCAATTGTCAACGAAAACGAGAGTAATAGGCCCGACTAATGACTTGTAAAAATAAAGATCATAATTCAATCAATAATATAAATTCCACGTCATATGGGCAGCTACTCTTCAAATGTTCGTGTTTGAGCTGCTCTTCTAACGTTTCTGTTTGTTTTTACAAGTCATTAGTCATTAAAACAAACAGAAACGTTAGAAGAGCAGCTCAAACACGAACATTGGAAGAGTAGCTGCCCATATGGCCTTATGCAAATGACATGACGGCATCCTTCTAGAGAAATAATATTTTCCAGCTGCGCGGACGCAACAGATGCTGTCATTTTGAATTTATATATTTCAGAAATGTTTTGACTTTTTCAATCAAAGTTCACGGTAGTATTTTATCTTCATCATGCTATATGGGGTAACAAATATGGCAGCTGATATATATAAATATTATACTTTCAGGAAGGATGAAGGATAGGATTGAATTTGAAACCTTTAAGAGGACTAGAGGAACTCTAACGCTATAGCTTATTGACAATTTGAAGAGGTTTTGTGGTCTAAAGGAATAGATAGCGTTATCTATTAGGAAAAAAAACAAAAAATTTAATTTCCTTATAATGCTAGAGGATCAAAAGCGTCATCAATGCCAAATTTTCTTTTATGGAAATTAAAATCTTCCGTTGACTCTGTGCTAGAAAACTCCAAGGGTTAGTTAAAATGACGCGAAATCAGAAGATTCAGCCGCCCATATAATAGTTCAAGGATGTAAAGACAATTTTTTTCTTTTTGATAATTGATGTAAAGACAGTTTTAAGATGGGATGAAAAAGAAAGACCGATGAACAGATAAATTGATTAGCCTATCGAAGTTATATTCAAGGTTGAACATAAGGAAACAAAGAAAAAGTCCTATTGAAGATATCAATTCTGGAAAGATCCCATCATAAATGCTACTAATAGAAAAGTTCTTTGAATTAACCAGACAGGAAATATTCGTGTCTTTGTGCAGGGCAGAGGGACTAAGATAAGGAGAGCGATAGAGTAATACAGAAACAAACCTGAAACTGCATCAACAAATTCTCCATTGATGAAAAGTTTGGTGAACTTTATCGTTGGCACCTTGAACGGAGAATCAGAGTTTTCATTGCTATGACTTGCCATCTCTCTCTCTCTCTAGATCTCCAGAAGTAATTCTATGTGATTGGTTGTCAGTTCAACACAAATTAGCAGACAATATTTATAAGCACACAGAGGGCCAGTGTTCTATATATTTAAAGCTAGTATATTGGAATTGACCAAGTGATGATAGTCCCTTACTTTATAAAGGAAGAAGCGGTTTCTCGTGCGGTTGAATGGATGGTAGTTATATGATTAGCGAGTTGGAATAGAGTTGGGATTCAATAGCGTTAGATGCCCGTTAAACAAAGGTAGAATACGCTTCGTGTCCGGCACTATATATTATTTAAATTGTACACCAATCAACCAAGAGGTAAAAATACAGACACAGAGAGAGTGGTAACATAACAGCCTCTTTAATTTGATTTGGTAATCTGTGGCTAATAACCAACAAATACTATGAGGCCCATTATAAATTTATCTATTCACAAACACTCACAAACCAAAAATTCTGTAAAGTCGTAAATTCCAAAATGCAAACCAGCAACTAGTTAATATATCAAAAAATTGGGCTGTATTGAAGCAAAAACAGTACAAAGTCAGACCACAAATGATCTACCCTGTCGACTATATTGTCATCCAAAACCCAAGCTTTTTGCAAACTCATATTATCTGTTGCTACCACAGCCTAAATTCTTAGCAAAACCTATCTTTGCAGCACAGTCAATGCATTGATCATGTCTGCGGTGTGTCCTCCTGTCATAACATAATAGCTGCAAACATCAACAATTCTTGATTGAGCTTACCTGAGCCCAACACCTGCAAAATAACAGAACACTTCTGGAGCTCAAAGAAACTACTCATAAGAAAAGCAAACCCTGTGGAATCAGCCAGAAAGCACAACCCAAGAAAAAAAGCTTATCAATAATGGCCAACGTGTAACGGAAACAAAAGGTTAGATTCTATTGTGTGGAGTTATAGGATCGTGATTTTAGAATCAAGCTCCAAGCAGCCATATCTCTAATGGACGTATTATCATCTCATATTACGTGCCCCATGGGTCATATCTTGCAAATTGGCCCTATAATTCTACACTTGTTGGGGGAATCAGACCTAAAAACTTATGTTGCTGGCAAGACTAAAAAGTTATCCCTATTTAATCTTAATTTGAAAGTACTGTTTCTATATATAAGTATTGCTAGAAAAGTTTATAATCCAAACACCAAACTATGACCCAAAGAGCAAAGATTGTTTCATGCCAGTTAAAAATAAATGGGGTTTCTGTAAAAACAAGGCTGGTAGGGTCGGAGTATCGGCATGAGACATTGCTTTACTGCTCCCACAAACATGACATGAGCATTGGTGTATTTCTCCTGCTTCCTCACAACTTAGTTAAGGAAGCTCTTATTGTACCTACCATTCAACTCTATAATAGGATGAAAAAAGGACAATAACTAACTTTGTGATTGAAATTATTATAGTTACAGTGTTTGTTCCAAGTGTTAAAGATATATCAACCTGCAGGTCTTTATATATATTTGGTACGTATATAATAACCTCATCACCAAAAATCTGCATTTCTCTACTGTCTCCTTCGCCCAGAAACAAACAGCTTGAGGCATAAATAATTAACAGTTGTCATATTGCTCACACAAAAGACGGTATTGTTGGTATTTTATTTTTTTTCCTTTTTACCCTTATCATAAAACATTTATTTTTTTCCTATCTAATTCATCCACCTTCCCACTCTATGTTTAACAGTTCAACCAAAGATAGCATAACACTACAGAATGAAAACAGGTCAACCATCGAGCATTTGCTCCCACCACCGATCTACAATGTTGAGATTTTCAGATACCTATATTAGTTTTTTTTTTTTAAAATATATATGTATGCATGTGTGTGTGTGCGTGCGCATTTTATTTTTACAAAAAAGGCTGCCAATAACACACTTTACATATCAATTGTTGTTTGATAGACAATTTGCTATACAATTGAGGCCTCAATAGCCTTTATCGATGCAAGTTTTGGATGATGGTATTTGGCATGCCCAGTTTGTCATCGCCTAACTCATAAATCACCAAACGTCTACTCATGCGTAATCCATAGCTTACTTAATAAGAATCCTATTCCAACGTAAATCATTTTCAGCATCATTGATTCACTACTCCCTTTACAATTACAATGTTTTGATCATCTTACATAAATAAAGACATTACACCTTCTCCTATATTTACTTAAGCTATTTTTTTCTTTTATTGTTTTAGATATTACATCACTTGCATCATTCAAGATCAAAAGTCTGAAGCAAGACTGTTGCTCGTCGAAAAAATAACTACATCATGTTTTGGATACGCATGCAAGCAGCTGGGGTTGGACTTTGGTTATGATGACAACAACGTGTTTCCACAACAATTGCCAGATGTCATCAATCAGTTAAAGATTTTTCGAATTCGACGTAACCTTTTTCGCAACAGATCGTTAGCCCATCACTTCATTGCGACTCATGTCTTTCGTGCCACCAATGTAGCAACATAAATATCCTATCAGCCTTATCCACATTATTAAATCAATAATACCTCATCAAATCCAATTACGATTGGGCGCAAAATCCATTGTAATTCCATGTGTGTAATTTTAATAATATTTCAGATATTTCGTTTGCTTATTACAAAAGAAAAGACCGCAAACTAACACTAGAAATAAAAAATTATTAAATAATATTTACAATAAAAATAAAAATAAAAACACTATAAAAAAAATAAAAAATTCACTTAACAAATATATTTTCCCTATATTAATCATCAAAAAAATACTTATTTTCTACTGCACCATATAAATCGCAAATATGCAAATGTAACGGGTGCTCGATCGTAATGTAGCATGGGTATCCATCTAGTTATGTTCTATTTAGTCTAAAGATTTTTTTCTTCTCTTATATTTGTAAAAAATACTTGGCACCTCATTTTTTACTTTTCCCATTTTAATCCCTTATTTTCTAAAAGATATTTTTGATGCCTCAAGTTTTCAAAATATATTTTAATCTATCATGTTTTAGATTTTAAAATTAACATATATCAGATTATATAATGTGTAAAATTGATTTGTTTAATTTGTCATTTCTTATAAACATTCTCATCAAATTAATTTTTTATTCTTCTTTCTATATAATTTTATTTATTAAGAAATATGATTTATTTTTCTCTATATATGAATTTTCAAATAAGGTTTTTTAGAATAAATAATCAATTACATAATTGAATTCACACGTTTTATTTATTTATTATTTATATAATCAAATTTTATCAAAATAACTTTTTTAGTTATTTTTATTACACTCTAATAACTTCAATATATTCCTTATAATTTTTTTAAAATATTTTTTAATTTATATTATACACTTCACCGAGTATGGTCATGATATATAAAAAAATATTGATTTCGTTAGTTTTATTAAAAATTAAATATGCATTTACATATATAACACCAACTCGTTTGCTATTAATTTTTTGTAATGTTAAAATTAATTTTTTCAAATAAAATAATTAAAATAATATTATAGAAGAACCACCTATAATTCAAATACATTTTTTACACTAATATTATTGATTGTTTTGTGTGTGTGTGTATTCAAAAAGTTTAAAAAAAAAAAAGATTCATTAGTTAATTTTTATCTTGATTGTTATTTTTTTTTATGCAATCTTGTGAAAAAAAGGTACATCGAAAAAAATATTAAGAAGTTTTTTAAAAATTTTATATTCAAATTTCTATTTACATTATTATAGGTTTTTATTTGAGAATAAATGCATAATGAACAATAAATCGTACTTTTTTAACAACAAAATTTATGAAAAAAACATAAAGAAGAATAAATAAAATGAAAAAAAATTATTAAAAATTATGACATTAGATAAAATTTTATCTTTTATCTTTAATTTAATATATTTTAATAGATTGATATTATAGTAGAGACTATTAAATTAAAATAAATATATTTAATTCGATATGTTGCATAGCGCAAAAAGCCAACTACTACTTGCTACTTGGTAGTTAAGCAAGATTAGAGTGCTAAATAAACTAACTAAGAATGTATTTGGTAAGTTAGTGATACAATTGTAAAGATGAAACTTGAGTATTGACGAAACGAGTAGGTATTATGTCCATCATTTGGAGCGCACTTGACTGTATTAGATAATCATTCTATTTTGTATTTATAAGTACGATACAAAACAATAATACTATCATAAATAAATATAAAAATAATAATATAATTATTTTTTAATTATGTCCAATTCATGGAAAAACTAATTTATTATTTAATGTGAAATATTAAAAAAATTATTAATTTAAGTTAAAAAAATATTTTGTATTATGTTATGTAGTTCTTATTTATTTCAAAAATAAAATTATTATTTTTTATTTAATTATTTGTTCAACAAGTAATTGTTTATAATTCTTTTTTTTATTAATAATGTAATTCTTTTTGTATTGCTGAAAGAATGCTTAGATAAGTTTTATCTCATGAGACAGTAATTAAAAGTTTGTCTTACAGTGGCGGTGAATTAAGATAAAAACCATGTACTATGTAGTCTCTTTGTACAGTTTCACCTGATATTTTATATTGCTTTATCTTGTGTTGTTTCGTTTACGTAGGGTCCTAAAAAACCTCCATTGCAATGCATATCAGTCTTGTGTTAGCCTAGCTTGAAACAAATCATAATGTGATATGTATATATTTGATAGCCATACATGTAATTTATGCATCTGTCCTAAAGAATCATGAAATCTGGTTTGAATCTGATTTCTTGCTTAGTCCTCTATCTTCATTGACCATACTATTTGATCCCTGAAGAAAAGTGGTATATTTTATAGGGTAAATTTTAATTTGCCATGTTGTCTCAATTTCACTTAAAACTTTTGATTTGTTTCAATCATCCTTCTTCTCTTTCATATTTGTTCTCCTCATCATTTTTATCAATTATTACTGGAAATAGTAACGAAAAATATGCGTAAATTGTAATTTCGTCTCCGAAATTAATTGAATATCTCAATATTACTGAAAAAAAATTAAGAATGAACAAATAAAAAATTCATGTAAGATAAATATTTTTTCAGTAAAACAAATATGATAAAAAAATATTTTTTTTCATCAATACTATCTACTATTTTGATATCGTTCATGTGTAAATTAAAAGATAAAGATAACAATATAAATAAAAATAAAAATATCGATTAGTGTAATGTCTGGATGAAATCATGATACGAAATACTGAGATGGTCGGATTGGAAGTTGATATCAAGCAATTAAAATTGGATCGCCGGATCACCTGTACGGGGGACATTTGACTGGTATCTAAATAAACGAGTCAGTTGACTCATTTATCTTTGTATATCACTGTACATTTATATTTTCTTATATATCACTTTAGATGAAAATGGCTCTAAAACCTTTCAAATAAATTTTAATTTTAAAAAATCAAACAATTAAAAATTAAGTGCAAAAAAATTAAAGTAACTTCTATAAAGAACCTACAAAACGTAAGAATATTTAAAAATTTGGAAGAGAGGAAGAGGGGTTTTTGTTGGTGTTGGAGTATTGCAGGCAGAAATTTTAAAAGATCAAACAATTAAAATTTTATTTTATTATTATTTTTTTCCTAATTGGGTTAACCGGAAACTGAATGCTGACCCCTTATTTGGACAAGTCTCATTTATATTGGATTGGGTTCCTATACAATTTTGGCTTGATGAGTTTTTTTATAAATAAAAACCTCGAAGAAGAAGGGGAAATAAATAAATAAATAAACGGAGACCACTGCTACATAAACTAGAAGGTAATAAATAAAATTTTGACGAGTCGTTTTTAACCCTCCGAAAATAATCGAAAGTTCAAATAAGCTCTTCTAAAGCAATTCACTATTTTTAGTTAAATGAAATGTGTACATCTTTTCTGTGAATCAATTCAAAACCATGCCACTTTTGGCGAAGAAAAACACTAACGAAAGTTGGTAGGAAAAAGTATTGTTAAATCCGTATCCTATATTTTGTTATTTCCATCATTGCTACCAAAACCTTACATCTAGTTAACTATCTAATCACTAATTTAATGTCATGATAATGTGTTGATAATTTATAACAAAAACCTTGATAAAAATAACAAAATATGTAATAGATTCAGAGGATTGAACTGATGACTAGTAAAATATTTTTGTTGACCAATTTTCCAGTGACGGCTCAATATGGGGAAATATTTTCACAGAAAAATATAGTGCTTGCATGCACCCATTAGGAGTTTCATCGAATACATGTCCAAAAAGAAAAAAGTACAAGCAACAATTGACGTTTTGATTAACAAAACTAGCACAAAAACAAGCATGTGCAGCCGATGGTGATTTCAAGATTAAAGAAAGAATATAATTCTCTTTTGATACTTGATCGCCAAACCATTGAATTCACAGTATAGACATTAACTCCAGCTTGAGCTCCATACAAGGGAAATCAGATTCACAGGTGTGGATCATATCCAGTCACGAGAAGGGACAAACTATTATAAGGAAAACGGGGAAAGGAGGAGGGCAGGTCCCAAATTAGAAGGGACACGTCAACTATTACAAAAACCAAATAACCCTGGCCTGAATATCTGGCTAGTTTTCTCCCATCCTATTGAGTGTATGGTGAAGGCTGGTAAGCAGGAGGCCCAGCAGAGTTGTAATCGTATGGACCATAACTGGTCTGGCTTCCATAAGAACTACTGGCACGAAAACCAGCAGCACTCATGTTGTCCACTGGCTGTGAGTAGAGTTGTTGAGGAATTGCACTGGGGCTTTGAGTGTTGGGGTAGTGTTGTTGGGGAATTGCAGTAGGACTTCGAGCGTGGGAGATACCATAACTAGATGCATAAGGGGCTGCTGTGGGGCCCTCGTAGACAGTCTGGTTAGGGTAGTTGTATGGCCCAGAATATCTTCTAGCTGGACTATGCTGTGCAGGGTGAGCAGCATTCCGGCGGCCAAAAGAGGAGTAATTGCTTGAAAATTTGGCAGCTTTGGCTGGACGGTAAGGAGGAGGTCCACTGCCCCTGCCACCACTTGAACCATGACCTCGCTTATTTTGAGGCTTGGTAGCAGCAGCAGCTGACGAACCCTTCTTCCTCTCTGCCTTGGCTTTTTCCAGCAGAGAAGCCCGTTTTCTCAAGCTGTCGAGGGAAAACTCTGATTCAAGCTTGTGATCTTCAACACATTTGATGATAGCTTTAATAGCATTAAACTCCAAGGTATTTGACTCGTCCTGGGAAAAAATGAAATTACTCAGAAGGTTACAGACTCAACTATTTCAGGTTAATAAAATTACACAACATAGACAGATATTAGACAAACTGTTGCAGCTGCACTATAATTGCCATTCTTCAAGACAGTTGTTGTATTCTTCTTGGAATTCTTAAGATACGACTTGAGCAAAGATACAGGAGAAAATCTTTCAGTCAAACCACATTCAGAAGCAAAATATACAGCCTCTATCTCTTTCCCATTCTTCACCAATTCATCAATTATCTCTGAAAAAACATAAGATTAAAACAGACTTTTAACGACCATATTGAACAAGAGATTATAGAACAATATATCAAAATCCAGTTTAAAAGAAGGGCATAGAGTGAAGTTCGTCAGACAAAAGCTTAACACCAAACACATTTGTTTGAATGCTCAGTGAAGCTAAGCACATTCTTATACCCAGTGATAGTCATATTTGCAAACCATCATGAGGGCTCATACGCTAATTAACTACCTCAACGTGAGGGGAGGACCGAGAGCAGGTTGGTTCATATTTACTAAGAAATAAGCAAGATAGGCATTCTGTCAACTAATCTTTCACGATGGTTGGGATTATTGAGTCCCAGGAATACAGACAAGTTTTTGCAAGATAGACCAAATTGTCATTACTATTATCTGAAGATATACTCTACCTACTAAACTCAGAGGTTTGCTAACAAAGTAGCATGCAAATTCTAAAGGGGAACTAGTTCCTGTTGGACAGAGCAAGCCAGAACCAAACTATACAAAGAAAATTAACATAGACTTTTTTTTTTTTTCAGACATGACTGACAAGAACTGTTGGACTCTTAAGGAGTCTAATTCAATTGATCATTCTTCCGAAAAGCGAATAAGCAATTGTACATGCAAAGATGTAAGCAAAACCAATTCAACACTCCTATGTGATTTATACATTTATTTGCCAGGGCAGCATAGCATTGTTTTTATCTCCTTGGTAAAGTCCTGTTTATGTAAATAAATTATCATTTTCCAAGAGATATCAATGCCATAAGATTGTCCATGGCGTTGTATTCTTAGAATGTAAAGGTCAAAAACTTCCCCTGGGGCCTTTTGGGGTGGGGGGGGGGGGGTGTGTGGGTTGGGGGGTTTTGTGTGGTGGGAGGGCCTGGAACAACAATGCAATACTGCACATCATTACAAAAGCATTTTCGCATAATTTACACAGCATTTGGAGATAATAAAGTAGTTCCATGAAAGACAATCCAAGAAATCACAAAATCAATTTTACGAGTAGCAAGTTCATTTCAATTTCATAAAAGCTGTTCCCTTTCTAATTCACACTATCATGTCCATTGATTCTCAAAAAGGACAAATTATGGCATTGATGCCAACTAATTATGCAATGCTGTCATTTACAACACGAATTTCACAAACAAAACAGGTACAGCACAAAACGCAACACCCAAATGCACAAAAAAAACAGCGAATCGAATAGAAAAATCTTGCAACAAATGTCACCGACATTGTTATTTCCTGATCACACACAACAACAATTAGCACAAAAGCAAAATCCTACTCTGATCAAATTAACATAGTAGATACCTCCCATTTTCCCTCCGAAACCAATAGCAGCTGCAAGCTTCGCCATATCCCTCCTTGCTGCATGCTCTTCCACAAGCTTCCTCAAGAACTCCTCATCAAACCTCGACTTCAACCCAAACCCCACCACCATCTGCAAAAACATTACCGCCTCTGCAGGCCCCACGACTCCACCACCACCCCTACCACTACCACCATCCTCCCTGTCAGCCTTCTCCTCTTCCTCGTCCTCCTTCCCCTTATTCCATCTCTCCAAAATCCCAGCAGCCCTCTCCACTACGCTCCGTGCGAATTCCGGTCCTTTATCCTTCCTTCCAAAACAACTGCCTTCCGGGAAAAGCGCCTGCACCAGCATTCCGCATGCCCACCTCTTATCCGTAACCCCAACTTTCTCGATTTTATCTCTCACTAACTCCTCCACTGCATCCAAAATCAATCTAGCAGGATCCACAGCTTCCATTATCGCACGTGAAATCTCGGCTCGAAGCGACACTGATTCCTTCCGCTTTGAAACCACAAATCTTAACAACCCAGATGAATCCATTCTCCTACACAAAGACTTTAAAGAATCAGATAAATTATCAAAAGAATGGGACTTTTGGAACTCCAATAACGCGGTCTCTCTTTGCTCCTCGACTTTGGCAGCAGCAGCTGACTCACGTTCCGGGATGGAGTTTTCTCTACGAGAAAGGGATTCCAGGGTTTGGTGGGAATCGGATTCTAAAGATTGGAATTTAGAATCCAGGGATTGGGATTTCTGGGAGAGGGAGTTTTTGAGGGAATTGAAGTGAGTGGTTAAGGATGTGAATAGTTGGGTACAGGAGGATAGAATGGTCTTTTGAGCGTCGAGGTCGTTGAAGAATTTCTGGGTTCTCTCTGTGTCGATTGCTAATTCGGTCGCCATCGATTGAAGATGACGAGGATTTGAAACGGTGCCGGTTCTTTTGGGAAGGAATGAGGGAATGGTCGATCTTTGGGGATTCTCAAAACCCTAAACCCTATATTCGTGGTTGAGGGAAAAGGAAAGGATTTATGCACTGCAGTGATTCTTTGTTTAGCCATTGCGTTTGTTCGTTATTAAGGTTACCATGTTTGATTTGCATTTTCGTCCCTATTTTATGATAGTTTTTCTACATTGATCTTATACTATAAATAACTCCAATTAAATCCCTGTTGATCTTAAATTTTTATGACAATGTGCTTACTTAGTTACACGATCCTTATTATTTCATCCGCTTTTCACCTTGCGTCATCATTGTAAGTGATGCTAATTTGGATAATGTGGCACACCAATAATGGTAAAAAAACAATTTACTTTTCACGACACCATTCATCTGACCTTATTTCATCTGATGTTTCTCAATATTACCCCTATAATTTAAAAAAAAAAAAAAAAGATTTCAATTATTTTTATTTACTACTTTCTTTTGAAAAAAAAATCTCTGAATTATTTTTAACAAAACAAATAACGAATGGACTCTGAAATAGAAAACTAGAAAACTCAATAAAATTATTGCCACTGTCACTATTTTTGTTCGTGACCTTTAAAGATGGGAATATATCAGATTAGGATAGGTTTTCCATCCACTTATTCCCAACTCGAAATATTCAAATATATCACAGGCTTTGGCCTCTGATCTGATGGGAACGGAATCGATGGAGGACTTTCTTCGTCCCACAAATACCTCGACCCAGTCTGAGTTTTTTGTTTTCAAATCAATTTTACACAAATAAAATTGAAGTTTAAAAAATAAATTATATCTTCATACATAAATCATAAAACCATAAAATAAAATCTAAACTTCAAATCCATAAATAAAACTATAAAATTCCTTCATAAATTATAATATAAAAATCTATACATTTCATTGAAAAATAAAATTATAATGTCACAAAAAAAAAAAAAACTGTTAAAAAAGCATATTAAAGAGAGTGAACTCCTAATAAACTTGATTGGATTTTACCTGACTCGGGATCAAATCAAATAAGAATCCAATCTAACCGGATTGGATGTCTTTGGATAGCTGATACGTCGGGTGAAATTGCCTTCTCCATTCATTATTACTAGCACAACTCAAGAAACTAAACACACATGCACAAATAGAGATGCCAACTTCACCGAACCTATTGGGTAGCCCACGTGACCCAATTTGATGAAGTCGGATTTTACTTCGTTTGATCGGGTGAAGGTAAAATCTAATTCAGTTTTATTGGAGTTAAGCAAGGGGTTTATCGAACCCGTAGCACTTTGACATTCTTATTTTATTTTATTTGTCAATACATATATAATTATTTATGTGTAGAGTTACTTAATTCACAATTACTTACATCCATATTTTCTAGTTATTATGCTAATTGGACGAGCAATTTTAACAATACATTTATTTTTAACTTAATTCACAATTTAGCTATTACCTCTATCATTATTATTGTCGTTAAAAAAAATAATGCTTTATCACTAAACTTATTTATATTGATTCTATCCCATCTCAGCTTAGTATAAGAAATTCAGCAAGTTATTGACTACGAGTAAGCTTATGTCATTTATGATATGTTGATCAATTTCTCCTTAGACAGAGAAAGCAATTTTTATTTTTTAGAACTTTCTCCATTAATCGACTATTTGTTCCATATATGACAATCATAATTGGATCTTATATATTTTTTATTTTTTAAAATTTAATTTTAATTAAATCTTATATATATTTGGATTAAATGACATAATTTTACATTTGTCTATACATATAAAAGGGTTTAAAATGTTTAAAAAGTAATTTTTAATCGATACATAGTACTAAAACTTATCATTGATAAAGTAAAAAAATATCATGAGCATGATATGAAAAATATTTATCGAAATTATTGGACTAATTTTACAATCTTGAAACAATAAATTTCTTGAAAAACTGCATTTTTGGTACCCAATCTTTAATTTTTTATGTTTCAATGCATAACCATTGTTTTTTTTTTTTTTTTTTGAGTGCTCATAGTTACTTGAGAGTCCGAGCAGTCGACATGGTAGGGTTGACTATCATGTGGTATTTTTTTACTACCACGTGGCAAATCTAATCGAACAAGATAGTAAAATTGGACTTAAGGTGAACTTAGAAATTAAAACAAATAAAAAATCAAAGCTTTGGTAGCAAATTATGAGAAATTAACGAGTTGGACACCAAATCAAAAAAGAAAAAAAATCAAAAATTGGGTACCAAAAAAGCGTTTCTCTAAATAGTAAAGATTAAAAAAACTTGCTATTAAATATATTTGCGCTCTAGACATCTTGAGGTATTGATTAGTTGTGGTGAATAGTTTTTCATTTTCTAGCTCTGTTTTATTATTATTAGTAGTAGTAGTAGTAGTTCGGCTTTCATTTTGTATGAAAAAATGTGGAAAATGTGGAAGTTGGGTTAATTTGGAAAACAAATTTCCACTTTGAAAATTAAAAAACATGTTCAAATAAAAAAAACAAACAAACAAACTCTAAATGATTTTATATGTTTTTACTTCTATGTGATTATTTATTTAGCTTATAATAATATCTTCTCTTATAATATCGCACTTATTAATTTTAACATCTTTTCATGTAATTTATTACATGGATGTTAAAGTGATATTGGTCATAATATTGCAATATTTTTTCATGATCAATGTACATTATTTTAAAAAAATCACATGGAAACGTATAATGAATGAGACTAATATGACTTGCAAATCTCTTAAAAATTCTGCAGAAAAAAAAATTATTGAAACTACATATTTATAAAATATGTATTAATAATAAAAGATGTTTTTGTTACCTAAAAAGAAGAAGATGGATATACGAGTTTTCTATACAAAACATGAATAAAATTTAATGCATGAATATTAGGAAAAAAAAAAAGAAGAAGATATTTTTCAAAATTAGTTATAAGTTGAAGTGAGAAGGCGTAATAATTGTCATAACCCTAAGTTGATTAAAAAGAAAGAGGAAAATCAAAAAAATTTTAACTCGATCTTTCATTTTGGTTTCATCATTTGGTCATATAACTTGTTTTATTTTTTTAATCCCATTTTTATTTGTTTCCATTTTTATTTTTATTTTTATTTTTTATTTAGTTTTATTTCGATTTTAGTTCCACAAGTGCAACGAAAATGAAGTGCAATTGGAAACAATTAGGAACATAATTGAAATGATTTAAAATTCAATAATCGAAATTGAAAGACACAGGGATCGAATTGAAAAATTAAAAAATCCAAGGACTATAATAACATGCCTAAATGATACAATTGTGGAAATTTAAGACCTACAATGACCTAAATTGACTTGAAAACAAAAATGACATGACCAATTTGGAATCAATCCGAACAACCTATCGTTCAAGTCTTTCTAGTCTCTCCAGGGCACACCCTCTCTACACCTTACCATCCCCCGACACTGTTCATCTTCATCAATAAAGTTGATAGGCTAGAGGGACAAAACCACTCTTGGTTGTAATTTTGTACAAACTAAGACTTGCCTTTGCATCCGCAACACATATACACACAAACTCAACATACAAACCACATTTAGGTTTTTGTGGGACAAACAAACTTTTGGGTTTCTTAAGAGAGATCACTAGGATTACTACTTTCTTCGGGTTCTTGAAAGAATAAATTCTCATTGGTCGAAGCAAGAATCGTCATTGGCAATCGCTCATCCTCAACCCATGCTCCTCAATCGGACACCCAAGTAAGATTTTATGTTTTCCTTCATTTGATTTGTAGCTTCAATTGCATTGATTTAGCCGCCAATCAATCCAAAATGAATGATGATAATGATTTTGTCACTATCATCATATAACCTCCCATCGCCCTAATTCCCTTTGCATGTTTGAGTTTATGAGGTGAAGGATAGAAAGGTTTGAGATAGTTTTAGTTTAGTAAGAGAGGGAACTCGTTGATTTGTTTAGTTTGATGCGAGAGGAGTAACACGAAGAGGAATTAGATGAGGAAGAAGAGAAGAACGAAGGAAATTTAGGTTTAGCGTGAGATAAGGGAGAAGAGAATATCGAGGCTAGGGAAAGGAAAACACTTAGAGCCTAAGAGGTTTTGATTTTAAGTTTGGTATGCATGTTAGGATGAGACCAACCTTATTAAATTCTTCAAATAAAATATTAAGTTAAATGCTTTCCAACGTTATGAGGTGGGAACTCTCTTGGTCGTTGTTGGCTTATTGAGATAACTCAAGGTCACTTCTTCCTCAAGGGAAATAAATCATAGGCCATGCGATGACCTCGAACATTGGGCCTAACTAAAATGAGTTATTGGGTTTGTTGAGATAACTCAAGGTTTAATAAACTTGTAAGTAAGGATTGGTATTCACATAAGATATGACAAGGATAAGGAGTTATCATACTAATGAAATTAGGAATTACATTAGATATAATTGGTAAGGAGTTACCTACCTAATCCTTAATGTATAGCTTATTGAGATAACTCAAGGCTAATGCATGTTAGAGGATGGGATCCTAACCCACTAAGAAAATGAATCAAAAAATTTTCTCGAGTACTATATTGAAAGTTATAGAATTTGAAGAAAATAGTGAGAGTAAACATAGATTTTACTTCTTTAATTTATGCTTTGTTTTATGTAATTTAATTAACCAAACTCGTATGCTTTTCTATCCTGTCAAATTATACAATATGACTGCCAACACATCGATACGTTCGATCATTGATGAAAGTAATGCCTTTACCGGCACAAACTTCTTAGATTGGGAAATGAATTTGAGGATAGTCCTCCAACATGAGAAAATTCTCTATACAATAGAGAAAGCTCTTCCGGATGAGCCTCCTCTAGTTTAAGCTGAATCTCATGAAGCATGCATCAAACATAGAGATGATGTAATCACTACTTAGAGTATTATGCTTGCTGCTATGACGTTG